AACTACTGTTCATCCACAGTGAGGAAACTGTAAAGAATGACAAAGCATCATGAACTAAAAGCCTTCATCCTTCATCTGCAGCTAGTGTTAATAACAACAGTGACACCAAGTGGTGAGATTGTCATTACAGCACAAGACATTTTAAACAGCACTCTCTTAAAGATGGACGGATGAAACGATCTCAGCTGATGGAAAAACAAAAGCAGGAGTTTAACTCAAAGTCATCATACATTTCTAAGAGACGTGATCGATCACGCAGAGAACACACTCCAGACGCCAAACAGCCGGTGAAACCCTCCGCCCCTCCTCATCCTCCGAGCTATCCCGCCTTTCAAAACGAAACCATGACAACTGTATTTAACGGAGGACTTTACACCTCTTAGGGGCCAGAGACAATCCTCCTGTAAAATCTGGACTTTCAGCACGTAGACTAACCGGTGCTATGGTGACGACCCTGATGCCCATGGGTGCCAGATCTCGAGCGATGGGGAGAGTCATTCCAACGATGCCGCCTTTAGAAGCTGAATACGCCGCCTGGCCGACCTGGAGAGCAAACAAAGAAAAAGAATAGTTGATGAACAGCATGAAAACACATTTCTTTTGATGTGTGTGTGTGTGTGTGTGTGTGTGTGTGTGTGTTTGTTTTTATTTTATGACCTGTCCGTCAAAAGCTGCCACGCTGGCCGTGTTGATGATGCAGCCCCTGTGTCCGTCCGCGTCAGGCTCGTTCTTTCCCATCTCCCCCACCGCCAGGCGGATCACGTTGAAGGTTCCTGCGATGTTCACCTGAAGGTAGGGAGCACACAGAGAGTCACACATCCGCGGGCGTCCCTTCATGCTGCACGTCTCTGCATCCGTGTGTCTGTCTTACATTGATAACGCGCTGGAAGTCCTCCAGGCTGTGAGGTAAGTCCTTCTTGAAGTTGTAGGTTTTAAAGGCGACAGCGATGCCGGCACAGTTCACCGCGAGGTCCAGCTTTCCAAACTTCTCTCTGGCCAGGGACACCGCCGACTGCACGTCTGCCTCTGATGTCACCTGGGGAAACGCCAACAGGACACTTAGGAAGTTGACTTGATTCTTGTGTCCCTGCTCTCGCCGGCCTCCATCCTCCTTCTTTCTTGTGCTAAAATGCAATTAGCGCTCAGGCAGGAGGAGGTGATATAACTGTCACACCTGACAGGACACATGTTTGATGTGCAGTTTTCCCTTTTGAGCTAAAGCATTTAAGATAAAAGTAAACGAGTAAAGCTGTCTGAACTGAGCAGGATGTATCTTCTTCTGTACATGGCAGTGACGGCAGGTTTTCTACAGACATCACATAAACGGCTAAGATGTTAGATCGATAGGACCAAGAATATGTGTATAAATAAAGGATACACTTTTGTGTGTTTTGCATGCAGGCGAAGAACCAGAGAAAGTTTAGTATTGAATACTGATTGAAGGTCACATGAAGAACTTGACGTGCTAAAGTCAGCAGTGATAGTGTTGGATGACGTGATGGATGCCGCCTACTAATCAAACGCCTGAAAAGGTGAGATGCATCATGTTTGAATGCAGATCGCGCAATTTTCCATCCCTCGACTTTATCTGGATTTATTTCAGCGAGCCACCTTCGTTTTTTGTTTTTTTGCAAAAAGTGGAGTAGAGCCGTGGAGTAGTGCCTCCCACCCACACTGGACCCATTCCAGTTTTCCTACCGCAGCAATAGGAGTACAGAGGATGCAGTCTCCACTGCGCTGCACTCTGTGCTCACACATCTGGACAATAACAACACATACGCACGAATGCTGTTTGTTGATTTTAGCTCAGCATTCAACTCTGTCATCCCCTCCAAGTTAAACACTAAACTCAGAGACCTGGGCTTCAACACCTCCCTCCGTCACTGGATAATGGACTTTCTGACCAACAGACCCCAGCATGTTAGGTCAGGACACACCTGCTCTACCACCATCACACTCAACACAGGCGTACCACAGGGCTGTGTGCTGAGCCCATTCCTCTACTCCCTCTTCACCCACGACTGCAGACCTGTACATGGATCCAACACCATCATCAAGTTTGCGGACGATACAGCGGTGATTGGCCTCATCAGCAACAACGATGACACGGCCTACAGGGAGGAGGTACAGCATCTGGCCGCCTGGTGTGCCGACAACAACCTGCTCCTCAACACCAGCAAGACGAAGGAGATCATCGTGGACTTCAGGAGAGAAAGAGGAAGCACACACAACCCCATTCACATCAACGGGATGGCTGTTGAACGTGTCTCCAGCTTCAAGTTCCTGGGGACCCACATCACAGAGGACCTCTCCTGGTCCACTAACACCTCCAGTCTGGTTAAGAAGGCTCATCAACGCTTCTTTTTCCTGAGGACACTGAAGAGACACCACCTGTCTTCAGCTGTACTGAGGAACTTCTACCGCTGTGTGATCGAGAGCATCCTGACCAGCAGTGTCTCAGTCTGGTACGGAAACTGCTCTGTCACAGACCGTAAGGCGCTACAGCGGGTGGTAAAAACCGCCCAGCGCATCACAAGGTGTCCACTTCCTGCCATTGAGGATGTCAAAAGAAAACGCTGTCTGCGGCGAGCTCACGGCATCCTTAAAGACTCCTCCCACCCTGCCCACAGACTGTTTACCCTCCTGCCCTCCGGCAGGCGCTTCAGAAGCCTCCGGACCAGAACCAGCAGACTGAGGAACAGCTTTTTCCCCAGAGCTGTTTCTCTACTGAACTCTACCCCCGAACTCTGAACTCTGTCTCTCTCTCTCTCTCTCTCTCTCTCCGCACCCTGCTGACCCCCCCCCCCTTTCCCTGCATATCACCTCACACCCATCATCCCCCCACCACTCCTCCTGGTCACACATACACATCTCTCATCCATCTGTATTATTGTATTATAGTATGTTCATATTATGTCCATATTCTTTATATTATCTGTAAACTAGTATAGCATGCTCACTGCACCTTAATCTGTATATTATAATCCTAAGAATACATTTATATTTATAGCATTTATTTATATTTATAGCATCCCATTAATCCAGCCATCCAGATATACCTAATAATTGACTTTTTTAGTCTACATCTGTAAATTTTGTAATTACTGTACATAGCACAGACTCTTGCACTTTCTGCTTATTTGCACTTCTGGTGAGATGCCAAACCTCATTTCGTTACTCTATACATGTATATGTGTAATGACAATAAAGTTGAATCTCATCTCATCTCATCTCATAAGTGAATGCAGCAGGTGATATTTTCAGGAACATTTACTCCGAGCGGGAGAGCGGTGGCGATGACGCTTGTGTCAAGTGACTCACGTCTGCAGGAGCGAAGGCACAGCGCTCCCCCAGTTTCTCAGCCAGAGCCGCTCCATCAGAGGAGGGCAGGTCCAGGATCACAGCCGACGCTCCGTTCTGCACCAGACGTTCAACGGTGGCAAGACCCAGACCTGACGAACCGCCCGTCACCAGGCCTACCATACCCTACCCCACAGAAGGAGAGGGGGGGGGGGCATAAAAGCCCCAAAATATACCTTAAAAAACAGAGAGAGAGAGAGAGAGAGAGAGAAGGGACTGACATGCAGGAAAGGAGCCACAGGTCGGATTCAAACCTGGACTGGCCTCTTGGACGACTACAGCCTCCCTACATGGGGCGCACGCAATAACCACTGAGCCGTTAGTTTTAATGGAACAGAGATTGTTAAACTTATTATTGTGTAGCACACGTTTACTTTAAAATATACATTTTAGCATTAACATGAAAATAGCATTCAGAGTCACAATTCTACACACAAGAGCTTCCTTCTTCCATAAATATTAAACATGCATTCAACTGAGATGTTTCCTCCTTCAGTTCCTTCACGGACACCGATATCTTCATGAAAAGATAATCCATCCGTCAGTTCTGTGGAAAAGAGATAAATAATCAGGAGCTATATTCTGTGTTTTTTAGATCTTTCAGTCTGATTTGTTTCACATTATCCAAAACAAAACAATAACAGACATCCTACATCTCTATATACTTTCCTACATTCATTCTCTAAAATTTGTATTTTGCATTTGCATGACTGAAACGTCATTCAACTTTTTACAAGTTGGTGTCTGCTGAATTCTAAAATACATCCAACTTCTACATTCAGCATGCAGAAAAAGGTGAATTATGAGTGAATACTTGAACAACTTAACTTTTAGGTTTATTAGTTGTATCTGAGTTTTATCTGGTAAAGTCAGCTTCAAAGTACTCTGTTCAGTTTCCTCAATTCTATTTTAACACTGAACGTCTAGTTTAACCACAGAAACCAACATGTTTGAAAGAGTCCACCCACCACAGACTGCTTCTTATTCTGTCTCCTGTAACTAATAAAGTCAACTATGAAGAAGACAAATGCAGCAGTGAAAAGAGAGGAGTGTAGGAATAGAGAGTACTCACTGAGGAAGAAGAAGCAGATCAAAGTCTGATGGACTCTCATGTTCAACGCTCTGATGGTTTAAGATGCTCTTGTTCCGTCTTCACTGGTCAATGATGGAGTCCCTCCTCCAAACACAAAACACACCCCTCCCCTCTTCATACGCCCCACTACAGAGACTGTAACCTAACTTCACAGTCACTTAAAGCTTCATCAATGGCATATGTCTTTGTTTAGTTTCTTCTCAGCCATCTTTGTTGTACCTTCAAATACACTGAAACATGCAGCACTGGTACAAGACAGCAAGGCAAAGACAGAAAACAGAGGGACAGACAAGAAGTCTTGCAGCTTAAATGGACCACTCAATTTGGGAGGATGTGTGTGAGTGAAGATTGTAAGAATAACGCCTGTCGGTGTCAAATCTGTGCAGCTCAAGGTGTCTGCCTCAATTGATTGGTGGGTTTTATTTTATTATCTTTATTTCTATCGGTGCAACGGAATCAAGTGCAACTCCAAATGAGCACTGATGACAAAATGATCGAGCTGAAAGGGACTTAAGTTAGCATCAAAGTTTTCTGTTGTTATTTTTTTCTTGCTTTATTTGGCAGTGACAGGTGCAGTATACATGGAGAACTGAACAACTACTTTCCAATGCACTGCACCACAGCATTTATAGCTCATGCTAATTTCCAATGCCTGTCCCTGAAGAGGCTTTCAATATAAAACACATAACATGCATGATATATCTAAACACCCCCTCCCCTCCCACTAACACAACCCCTACACATGACTACATGGCTGGTTATTTTTCAGGAATTCTTTCACTGACATTCAGTGACATGTGTCCAAAACAACAGGAGTTTTAACATTGTGCACTACAAGATCCTCTTATTACACAAAACATAAACACATGATCTTACTGAATAAAACAAAACATTCAGCTGAGGGTCTTCCTCATCAAAAGATCAAAGTTTGTGGTTTAAAGGCAGAATGTGCAAACATTTTACACATAAATATAGCAGAAAGTATATCCTGTATAAATGTGTCTCTGAGTCATGACTGTCTACAATGAGTGAGAAGCTCGAGTCCCGCTGTCTGTGTTGTTGTCTGAGCCGTGTTTACATGGACGGGACGGCCGGCTCCTCCCCTTGTGAATAAAAGTTGTTTGTGTGAGGGACTAGAGAGAAGAAGAAGAACATACTGTACTCTCTGCTTATTTGAATGTTACCTAAGCGTTTTAAGATCACAGTCATTCAGTATTAGTTTAATCTATTGTGTGGAAATGGCTACTTTCGCTCTTGGAACTTTTTGCGCTGTTTTCTGTTACTTTGGACATTCTTTGTAACGGAGAGCAACGCACAGCTGAGTGAGGGCATTGTTTACACACGCGATCAGCTGATGGCGCTCTCCAAGGTGCTACTGCCCGGAGCTGTAATTCCGGAGGAGCTGAGGAGGCGACGCCGGGTTGCAGAGCTGGAGCTAAGAGGAGAGCTAAGAAGAGAAAACATAAGCCTTCTGTACCAGCGGTGATTATGGGGAACGTGAGGTCTTTGGGCAATAAGACGGACGAACTCGACGCGCTTGTCCGGCACCAGTGGGAATACCGCCAGTGCAGTATTATGTGCTTCACGGAAACATGGCTGCACTCGGACATCCCGGACCACAGCGTGGCGGTACCCGGCTTCAGGACTTTTCGGGCTGACAGGGACGTTATTAAGAGCGGTAAGAAGAAAGGTGGAGGGATGGCACTGTATGTGAGTGAGAGATGGTGTAATCCTGGCCATGTTAGTGTGAAGGAACGTCTCTGCAGCCCGGACATTGAACTGTTAGCTGTTGGAATGCGCCCATATTACCTGCCCAGGGAATTCACGTGCGCCATTGTTATAGCTGTTTACATCCCACCGTCAGCTGATGCCGAGTCTGCGAGTGATGCACTTCACTCTACTGTTTCACAGCCTCAAACTAAGCATCCAAATGCTTTTGTAGCCATTACCGGGACTTTAATCATGTAAAAATGGACAAAACACTTTTCATCAATATGTTAACTGTCCAACTAGAGAAAATAAAACACTGGACCTTCTGTATGTTAACATTAAGGAAGCATACAGTACCACTGCCCTTCCCCCCCTGGGCAGATCAGACCACAACCTGGTCCTACTGACACCAGAGTATATCCCCCTGGTCCAAAGGCAGCCTGTGACCACAAGGACTGTTAGGAGGTGGACACAGGAGAGCAATGAGGCACTGCAGGACTGCTTTGAGTCCACAGACTGGGATGTACTCTGCGAGCCACATGGAGAGGACATTAACAGCATGACTGACTGCATCACAGAATACATTAAATTCTGTGTAAACACTGCTTCACCGGCCCGGACTGTACGCTGTTTTCCTAACAACAAACCCTGGATCACCAGTGACCTGAAAGCCCTTCTCAACAAAAAGAAACAAGCCTTCAGGTCTGGAAACAGGGAGGAGCTGAAAAGGATACAGCACGATCTGAGGGAAAAGCTGAGGGAGTGTAAGGACTCATACAGGAGAAAGCTTCCATCAGAACAACGTGAGGGATGTGTGGACTGGAATGAGGGAAATCACTGGTTTCAAGGGGAGATAAAAACAACATTCTGGCAGCCTGGAGAATGAGCTAAACCTGTTCTTCAACCGGTTTAGTTCACAGCCTTCATCTGCCTCTCCCACCTCAAACAACACCCCTGTCCTTCACACCTTCCAGCCTCCCTTTGTATTTTCTTCCTTTCCCCCCCAACCCCCCATAGTGAACTCTTTGGCCTCTGGCCCACACCACAGGAGTGCACTTCCCGCTCAGAGGTGAATTGCTCCATTCCCCCCCCGACTCTAACAACTGGCCAGGTTAAGAGACAGCTGGAGAAACTACACATTAGCAAGGCTCCAGGCCCAGACGGCATCAGCCCAAGGGTTCAGACAGCTGTCTGAGATTCTGCAACACCTCTTCAACCTGAGTCTGAGCCAGGAGAGGATACCGGTGCTGTGGAAAACGACCTGCTTGGTCCCGGTCCCAAAGAAGACGACACCATCTGATCTCAAGGACTATCAACCAGTGGCTCTCACATCTCATGTGATGAAAGTGTTGGAGAGGCTCGTCTTGACCCACCTCAGGCCGCAGGTGAAACCATCCCTTGACCCTCTACAATTTGCCTACCAGCCACACCTGGGAGTGGACGATGCCATCATCTACCTGCTGCAGCGTGCTTACTCACATCTGGAGGAAAAAGGCTACACTGTGAGAATCATCTTTTTTGATTTCTCCAGTGCATTCAACACCATCCAGCCACAACTGCTGGAAGAGAAGCTGCAGTTGATGGGTGTGGACTCGTCCATCATCTCCTGGATTACTGACTACCTGACAGAAAGACCACAGTTTGTCTGACTTGGCAGTGTTCAGTCTGGAATGGTGGAGAGCGGTACAGGAGTTCCACAGGGGACTGTGCTGTCTCCTTTCCTTTTCACCTTGTACACCTCTGTTGGGCCACGCAGGCTTAGGACAGTCAAACAATGGACTTGGGCCTGCACCTCTGTAAAAGCCTCATTTGAGTTATTCACTGAGATCACAAAGAGGCCTAAAAGGACTCTTAATCCCAGAATCCCCTGCGGTACTTCACACCTACGCGTGAAGTAAAGGGGGACCGGAACCTCTCTCTCCTCATTGGAGGGGACCTGAGGTAGACCCCCATGGAGCAGGCCAGGCTACAAAACTCCAAGACTTCCATTGCTCGATGTCTTTCACGCGCTGACTTCTGGTGCTCGGAGATCCAAGCTTATCTCCTGTTTCCTGCAACAATCTTCCTTTGTTTTAAGTTTTTGGCGCGCAGGTAATCCGCGGCCGGCAGTGTTCTAAATTCCGAGCTCGGATTGTCCAGTGAACGCATCTCAGTTTCTCGGAGAGCGTCAGACTATAACAGATTATCAGAAAGATAACGGTCTTATTCCGTCCTGCAACGAAAGGACATCAAAAGGACATCTTTCCACTCGACGGAGAACCAACGAAGCCGCTCTCGCCGTAAGGGACCCTCGCCGCCATCAGACACCTCTGCACCAGGA